GAACATTCGCACTGCATGCTTGTCTCCAGCTCTACACCGCATTGTCGAGCAAACACTATGGGTGCATGTAAGTGTGCGTACTTGTGGTGACAAACTACTCGAATGCATAGTCTATCTGCCGACTATTCTGCGTGGTGGCCTCGACAGGTTCCAGGAAACTCGAGCATAACAACTCCACTTGTAGCAATTGTCAACGCCATTTCATACGTGCAACTCAGCTGCCCCTGTCTTCGCCGGTGAAATGATTACGCTCTTAAAACCTTAGCACCAAACGCAATGTGGAGAGTGCCATGATTATTTCCAAAAAAATGATCCCTTCGTGTATCTTACATAGGTGATACATTCAGTGTACATCCTTCCCAATACCTACACCTCGATTCTCTTACTTACTATATCATTTGTTTTTGTTGTGGAGCCTTACAACAGCAGCATCCATGCATCTGGTAGATTTAGGATGCACGCCTCATTTATTCGTTCCGCATGCTGCAGGCAGGTTCCGTCAAAATGCACTTCAAGGCGAGATGCAAGCCTCTTTTCTCCTTACATTCAGCTATGTGCTTAACTCACATCTATCGCGAATGATGAATCATGTCAAAATCTCCTGCAAAGCATTGATATCGTGCAAGCTGCAAGTTAGTTACGTTTTACGTTTCCTAGCCATTGTCACGTCACTCCACCATTTATTTACTTACCTGTTATGTTTCTATCTCACATACATTCTATGCTTGCCCATTCCCGAATGTATTCACCTCTCCAAACATTTAATCGACTACTTCAAATCCTATTTCCCATCCTCTGCCCATCGGCCTTCCCCACGTTTGTGCGCAGGCAAATTCTAGGTAGGGAAGGTATTAATGTTCTTATGATGTGGTAACTTCAGAAGACACTGGTGAGTATAATAATTTTATTCAACTTTTAATGGCCAACAACTGCAAAAATCTTAAGTCATCGCAAATGCACTCCTATGCAGCTTTCTGCTCTCTGTTTTTAATTGCATCGAACACATTATACGCTGTTCCGTTGGAAATAAATGCCTCATATTGCATCCTGGAGGATGCCGAGGGTGTAAACAAAGCAC